TTTGTGTAAGGCTTTCAGCAATCACTTCCTACAGAAGTTTAACGGTCAGAAGGAGTAACATGCTCATGAAAATGAACATGATGCAAATTTTCTGTAGTAGAGTCAGGATCAACAAAATAAACATAATTGGTTTAATTCTGCAGGTAAAAGCACTACTATTATTAATATTTGATGGTTTACTAAGCATAGATATACTTGTGGCGTGTGCTGTTGCAGGTCTGGAAGAGAGCAGGTAAAAACTATTTACTTTTCATTTTCTTAAGCAGCAGAAGTGCCTGTACAACATAGACAAGTACTTCTGATGTTTTTACATGCATCAGTTGGAATATAGCATAGTGTTTATGCTATTATCATTGCCTGAAGAAGAAACTTTTAACAAATGGATTGAGTGCAGAATAGTGACTCATAGTGATATTTAGGTTTTAAAATGATGGATGAGCTTAAGATGAGAAGAGAGATGGCAATAGTGTGCAAAGGAAAGTTCTTATACATCCCTGATAGAAAGTTGTAGATTGGTCTAGACAGCCCTGATGAATAGAATCATAGAATAGTTAGGGTTGGGAAGGACCTTAAGATCATCTAGTTCCAAGCCCCCTGCCATGGGCAGGGACACCTCACACTAAACCATGTCACTCAAGGCTCTGTCCAGCCTGGCCTTGAATGCCACTAGCGTGGAGCATTCACAGCTTCCCTGGGCAACCCATTCCAGTGCCTCACCACCCTAACAATAAAGAACTTCTTCCTTATATCCAATCTAAACTTCCCCTGTTTAAGTTTTAACCCGTTACCCCTTCTCCTGTCACTACAGTCCCTAATGAAGAGTCCCTCCCCAGCATCCTTATAGGCCCTCTTCAGATACTGGAAGGCTGCTATGAGGTCTCCACGCAGCCTTCTCTTCTCCAGGCTGAACAGCCCCAACTTGCTCAGCCTGTCTTCATACGGGAGGTGCTCCAGTCCCCTGATCATCCTCGTGGCCCTCCTCTGGACTTGTTCCAACAGTTCCATGTCCTTTTTATGTTGAGGACACCAGAACTGCACACAATACTCCAGGTGAGGTCTCATGAGAGCAGAGTAGAGGGGCAGGATCACCTCCTTTGACCTACTGGTCATGCTCCTCTTGATGCAGCCCAGGATACAGTTGGCTTTCTGGGCTGCGAGCACACACTGCCGGCTCATGTTAAGTTTCTCATCAACCAACAGCCCCAACACCAGTTTTCATTCCAAATGACATGGAAGTGAACCAACGATGAGTTTACGTTAAAAAAAAATTATTTCAGTCAATGTTGAAATTCTTGTGTCCTACTGAACCCAACTCTGTATGAAACATGTCAAGTTCTTTATGGAATGCCGCAGCTATTTACTGGATGTATGTTATAGTTCTCCCACTTTGTTTCATTTATGTGGCTTTTGCGTTTCTGTATGTGTTTTCATAAACGTCCTGCCTAAGCCTACTACAGGTTACTGGAAGGTGCAGTCCTTGCCAACTCCATCATGCTGGCCACAGTACTTGCAGCATCAGTCAAAATGAAGTTACTCACGTTGAAAATTATATCACCAAAGAAGACCCACTAGGATTGGGTTTCCGTCAGACCATTTTTCTGACAGAGAGGGGCCAGCAGAAACATGCCTGGTGAGGTGAATTAGATCTCCTAAATTCACTATAAACTGTCTCATATAGGATAATTTTCCTGTGCTATCTGTTCTGGTTTCAGCTGTAACAGTTTTTTTTCTTCCTAGTAGCTGGTAAGGTGCTGTGTTTTGGCTTCAGTCTGAGAACAGTGCTTATAACACACTGATGTTTTTAATTGTTGCTAGATAGCACTTACCCTGATCAAGGACTTTTCAGTCTCTCATGCTTTGCCAGTGAGGAGGGGCACGAGGAGCCAGGAGGGAGCAGAGACAGGACACCTGACCCAAACTAGCCAAAGGGGTATTCTATACCACAGCACATCATGCCCAGTATATAAACTGGGGGGAGTTGCCCAGAGGGGATCTATTGCTGCTTGGTTTGGGTTGGGTATTGGTCAGTGGGTAGTGAGCAATTGTATTGTGCATCACTTGTGCTTTCTGAATCCTCATTTCTCTTCTTTTGTTGTTTCCTATTATTACCATTATTGTTATTGTTGGTATTCTCTGTATCATCACAAAATAACTATATTTTATTTCAGTTATTAAACTGTTCTTATCTCAACCTGTGGGGTTTACATTCTTTCAGTTCTCCTCCCCATCCTGCCTGGGAAGGGGGAAAAGGTGGTGGGAGAGCAAACGGCTGCGTGGTGCTGAGTTACCAGCTGGGTCTAAACCACGACACTATCTTAAAAGAGATAAAGTCAGAAGCTGTAGCATGTATGTAGGATGAAGTACCTTTTCTTGTTTGATACAACTGTTAATCCTGAGAAGCGGTCCAGAGTTCAGCTAAGTCTTTTCAGTAGAAGGAGGAAAGAGTGGGAGACAACTTGCAAGCAATCTGTTCACATGAAATTTGTCATTACTGCAGAAGCTGCTTACACAACTTGCCTGTTTTCCAAGAAGGCCATTTCGCCTGTCTTTCCAAGGCTAGACCTGAGCTGAGAAGCTCTTAAGGGGTCCAGCCAAGTCTTAAAAGCAGAGGCCAGCACTGCCAGTGGTGCAGAACATAGTAATCATGTAGTACTTTGTGGTGTGGACCATTGCTGGTCAAAGATTGGTAACAAAGGATCACTACATGCATTTCAAACAGGAGACCATGTGCTCTGAAGTGGTGGGTTTTCCCCTCTCTTTATACTTTTTTTCAGCCTAGCAATCCAGAAATGGTGCTTCATCTTAGATGGGTTTTTTTTCTATAGAAGAGCTAAGAAAATAGTTCTTCACTGAAGACAAGGATCTAAAATTATCTTCAGATGAAGTAACAGTCATATACGTCTTGTCTTTACAGGTGCTTTGAAAACAAATGAAAGCCAGTTTGAAGGTTCCCTTGTCTAGCATCAAGTAAAGATCAGGCAATTTACAGTTTCATAGCACTTGCCCAAGAAATGAAAACAATCTAACAGAATGAGTCTTTTGGGTAGCTTACATAAAGTTCATGTGAGCATACCTACATAACAGTATTTAACAGTACAATTAGACATGGATGGAGAGAGGACACAATGTGCATATCAGAGGTTAATGGTTCTTCTTTCTATCTGTGACCTGAGTAACCATCACTGACCATCAGCCTTCATTTCTATTAATGAAGGCTTTGAAAAACTGGACTTGCATGCCCACAGTATCAGTGAATGGCATTTTGTGTTAAACTAGTAGTTTTGTGTAACATTCATTGATTTCTCTAGGAATGAATGTTGAGGATGGCAAACAGAGATATGTTTTTAAATGCCGTAGGTATGAACATGCTTGTTTATCTCATCCCTCTTGTGCTTTCTCAGACATCAGAATCTTATATTATGAGCTTTTGTAGGAAGACACATGCAATTCTGTCATTTGGATCCTGTGGTAACTACATGCTTCTCAGTTTTCTCTCTTTAGGAGCTGGATCTCTGCTGTAGATTGTGAAGTCTAGCAAACAGAAAAGAAAGAAGTATATGATAAATGCGCATAGTTATCTTTAAAATATTTTTTTAGTCTGTCAAATGCTTGTTTAGAAATTCAAAGTGAGTGCACATGAATTGTCCTACATCTGTTTTTACATCCTTCTCAGGAGTCTGGAATTGAGTGTTGTCTCTGCTTCCAGAAAATTTATCCACCGAAGTCTGGGTTCAGGAATGTTTCCCTTACTCAAAGTCCTATGTTCCCTGTGTAATCTAAGTTTAATGACATGTTACTTCAGGCCATTCTTACAGGTCTGAAGTGAACAGACTCTTTTTGTCTCTGGACTTCTTTCCCAGCTGACGAGGTGGGCAGCTTAAACATATCAGTGTGTTGTCCACATCGAAATTCAGGAGGCTGATTTTCAGGATATTGCTTCTTTTGTTGCTTCCTTTATCACTGTTCCAGTTACTTTGGTTGTATTACTGATCTGAGTCACCCTTTTAGTGTATTGCCATTTGTGTAGTACAAATAACAAAGTTATGACAAACCTGAAACATTTGAAATAATTTGTCCTCTTTTGATGGTAACAAATCTTTCCTGTGCTTTCACTTTCCTTGGAACTGTGGACTTCCCTAATGAATAAGTAGTTTGATCTCTAATGTGAGAAATCTGACATCTTATCAAACTGGAATGAAATGAAGGAAACAGGTTTTTGTTTAACAATACACAGTAACTTAGTTCTTGACAGCTTTGATTTGAGCAGGAAAATGAATAAATCAGACAATATGTGTATTATTGTGAAACATGAAAGGTTAGGGAGATTGTGTGATGTCTTAATGCACTGATCTTTCTTCTGTAAAGACATAATTTTCAAGTTCTGGTTATGCACCCAAATAAAAGTGAGTTTGCTGGTCTTCTGTTCCTTCAAATGCTTCTGCAGTTTGCAAAACCAGTACATAATTCTGAACAATTCAGACTGCTTGGGAATACCTGTTTCAAGACAGGACCCCTTACCTACATAGGCAGAAGGGCTGGAAAAGCCTGCTTGGCTTCACCTGTACCTTGTGCTTAGTTGAAGTTTCTGCCATTAGTCCCTCACTTTTCTGTGCACCTAAATTATACAAAATATATTCACATAAATGTATCTGTGTCCTGATTTTTTTTCTTACTACTTGGAGTACTGGTTTCTGGACTTTGGAAAGAAAGGACCCATCCCCTCATGCCTCCAGTTTTTGAAGGGGGCAAGTGTTTTGATTAAAAGAAGTGTTGTGAAGTGAAACAGCATTTCCCCTCTTAACAATGGTCCTTAACTTTTGAGGCTTTCTTGCATTTTTTAGAGTGTGCTTTAAAGAGGATGTACTATCCCATTAACACTGCTTGCTGACAACTGAGAAAAAGATCCATATAGCATTTAATAATACTGTAATTTTGGTTGAATTTCTGAATGTGCTGTTTGAACTCATCACAGAAAAACTAACCATAAACTCTTCCCACAGAAACTGAAACAGAAGAATCAGCAGCTGAAACAGATCATGGATCAGTTACGGAATCTTATTTGGGACATAAATGCCATGTTGGCAATGCGGAACTGAACATGGAGAATCAAACTTTGCGATTGGAAAAGATACCAATTTGGATATACTTAATTTCTTCTTCTGAAGTAACATGTTTTTTCCACAACCATTTTGCAGTAATGTTTGAAAAGTCTTCAAGATTAAAATGTTGGGGTTTTGTAATAACTTACATGGTGTTGGTTTTGTTTTTCATAAAAGATTCATCCTCCAGGTGTTAATCTGAGCAATTCAGTGGGGCTGAATATAATACAGCCTAGGTAAATTGCTGTAGTAATTTGGACTGCTATGCAAATGAGGGTTTTTATAAATGAATTGTTTCTGGATTTATTTTTTTTTCTATAATACAGTTGACACTGCTTTAAAAATGTGTTTTCATGCCCTTCTGCAGTGCAAACCACCTCTACAGGGAAGAAAAATCACAATACAAAAAAGCTCTAGTAAGCCACAGGACCACAATAGGCAATCAGATATTACAATTCAATATGTTTCCCCATTGTGGGAGCATACACTACAGGCTACTATGCCACGTAAGCACATCTTATTCCATATCCTATCAGTGGGTATATATTAGATAAATTGGAGCAAAAATCAAAACCTACATAAAATGACCCCTATATTATGGATATAATTAAGTCCTTTTAAGGCTACATATGTGTAGCCTCAACATTAACTTCTTCTGTAACTATCTGTTATAATTTCTTGAGTACTGCTCCAGGTATTGTATGATGAAGTATTCCTGTAGTATTATGTATGGTTGGAATACTTCGGATTTGTTTACCAGAATGTACTGAATAAATGCCTCATTAATCTTTTCTCTGTCACTGTGAGTCCTAGAAAACTTTGGAGTACCTGAGCAGTACATTATTTTGAGTTAATCATCAACCTTCATCTGTCTTTGTTCTGCCTCTGGTATTCCTCACAGATTTTGTTAGCCCTAAATATAGCCTTAATAATTTTTGTTGTCCAGGGATGCTGCCAGTGGACTAGGTGTCTCTTTTATCCAGGTAAAAGAATATGTAAAATAACACCATTTCGGTGCACATCTGTAGGGTACTGTACTGTTAATATTTGTCCAGTTGAAAACAGACCATCCTTATGATTTGCTTCTTGTGTATTACTTTTAACTCTCACTCCATGCCCCATCAGATTCCTAAACAGTTTTATGTGAAAGATTTGCTAAGAACCTTCTAGAGAGTCCAGTTAAATGGTATCCTTTTAAAAGATACGCGGTTTCGATATTGAATGCTTATTAATCTGAGGTATATGGGGTTTAAAATTTTGTACTGCTTTTGCTGTTCTATCAGTCTTTTTATTTTGTTTTTTAATAATTTCAACCCATTTGCCTACTCCTTGAGGTAAAATTTTACCTTGAGGTAAAATAAAGACATGTAGTAGGTCTGATCACACCTGCTTAACAGTGTCTTTTCCCTAAAATTGGGTGCAGTATGGTTGTCTCTTATTTCTACTTTTGAAGGCTTTATATCTTAACAGAACAATGGATGCCCAGTCTTATAATTGCAAATAAACAGAAAATGTTCATTTTGATTAGTTTACCCATTGTTGAACATGATGTGTAACTATGACCATATCTAGATGTGAGTAGCTGTCGCAACATATTACAAATAAGGACTTTTTCTTTTCTCCCACGTTACAAAAGGAGTGGACAGCTTACTCAGTGGCAGAGCTATCAGCAGAGCTGTTCATTTCCCATCTGCATTGGCCACTGTGGCAGACTTGTTGGTCAGAAATAATGGTTGATTTCGGCAGTTGTGAGAGGCAGAACTATTTTATGTACAAAGCTTTTGAAAAGAAGACTGCAAGTAGAGATTTTGATTCTTTAATACACGAGCGCATTTTTGTGTTTGCAAGCTGTAGTGGCAGCTTTCTGTTTGGTGTGTGTATAAGCATTCATCCAGCTCAGAAGTATTTGAAAGATCCAGGAAGAAGGATTTTGAAATGGCATCAACATTTTAATTGTGTGTGTAAAATTCACAGTACTTAGTATTTTGCTCTATTTTTGGAACAACTCTGGAAAATGGAGATTAGTGTAGACTTTGCTCTACTGCCTGTATACTATCTGTGTATTCTTACTAAGCATCTTTAAAGTTTGTTGACTTTTTTATTGCATATAAACAGAACAGAAGTAACCTAAGATATAAATAGGAGTGTAAATATTGCAACTAGGTGTTTGGCCAGTACAATATTCAGCTTTCTCTGTGCAGCTGCTAGCAGTAGCCAAGGTTTATACTACAATTTTTCATCTGGGAGAGAGGAGAAAACACTTTAAAGCACTATCAGAATAGATGGCACAGTAGCTAAATTGAAAGTGCAGAATTGACAGAATTGTAAATTATCACAGTAAATACTGTCAAAACAGGAACTTTGCAAGGTGTTGGACCAAAACTGTACAGTTTGACTTACACAGATGAAAGTAAGGGTAGTGAACATAATTCATACGCTGTCAGATCCATGAATAAGTATGGCCAAGGAGTTGGCCAAGAAGATTACAGTTTTAAGAAAAGTGGCAAGTCCTCAACTGTGAAACACTTTAAAAGAAATTACTGGGCATCAACATGTGCTGAAATTTAGTATTTTAGTAAGTGCTAACTGAACTTTAACTGCCGGTTAATGAAATGGCATCAAATGAAGTGCTTACAAATAACAGCGAAGCAATACCAACACAGATGTTTCCGTGTTTTGTTTATACATCACTGACTATTTCTGCTCAGGCAGAAGCTGGATAAGTGTACAGACAGTCCCAGGAGCAGATACCAGAACCTAGGATGGTCCCATATTTGGAATATAAAAATATTTGGGGAGGTTGGGGTTCTTAGGGCCCTCTTTTGCACAGAGGGCGTGCATGGAGCTATGCACTGGGGCTCTGGAGCTAGGATGCTGTGTACTTTGTAGCATGTTTATGAGAGCACCCCAAGTTAACTCACGGTTTCAAAGTGAAACCATTAATCCAACACTTTTGTAGACAATATAGCAGATATTCAGTGTTCAGTGACACAATACAGAAGATGCCGTGTAGGCACTATGCAAAGATCCAAGGGTTTTCTTAAGTAAAAAGACGAGAGTGCAGAGCATATTTATGCTTCATTCAGGAAAGATGTATGGAGTTTGCCTTTCCTCTTTTCTTCCATAGAGGCAGCAAGGCCATATCGAAAGTGCTCTTAATAAGCCATGGCTGTTATTGTCCTGTAGAAAAAAACCTGCTCTGATTATAGTATTTCTTACTGATGGAGAAATTGGAGCTTGTGCACAAGTGCTACTTAAACTAATCACTGTAAAGAATGGATTTAGTTGGAGTAGGACAAGGATTCCAGCCTCATAGGAAACAAGATTTCATCCTTGTTCAAGATGGCTGCACAAGCCAGAAAGACTACAGCTGAAGGATGACTGATATCTGCTGTGGAAAACAGTGAGCTCCAGATGTAGATTTGGAGATCTGAAGTTCAGAAAAAAAATGTCAAAAAAGATACAATGACACCCAAGGACACTGTCAGTCACTGAGGTTTAGAGAATGGATTATTTCAGTTACTTTGTGCTAACAAAGAAAATGGGGAAATACAAAGGCGTTTACAAATATATCAGTACAGAAAAAATATTTGGGGAAAAAAGCAAGTAGTTTGCTCACTCTCCTTATTGAATAGTAATGAAGACTGATACGGTAGAGCATCAGGGCTTTAACAGAGGGGGGTTTTGCTAAATTGGAAGGTTACTCTATACATAAAAGTAACAAGCTGGCTGATACATATCAGGATATTAATGAAAGTGACAAAAAGTATGTACCAATAGCAGGTTTTATTTAAGAAAATGTATTAGATAACTGGAATGTAAGAGGTAAATAAATGCAGTGTAGTGATTTTTTTTTTGTCTTGTTATATGTAACTTCTGTGTAAATTTAAAGGATTTTTCTTATATAAGGGATGCATTCTGGCTTCTGTTGCAACACTACACAACAAATAACACTGCTAAAAGCCATGAACAGTATTTGTATTGATGTGAATGTCGTAGGAAGTAGAATCCATGTTTGACAGCACTTCTTACTGGACTAGGTCCAGTGAAGACCACAGGCATATTTGAGGCATGTTTTTATGTCCACTTCATTCTAGGAACATCTTAGCTTGTTGTATGCCTTGATGTTTGTTTGAAAGCTACCTAATTGCTTAGAGTTCTGCTTCTGCCCCTGTTCCCAGCAGCTGATGATATCTCATAATCACTGCTGAGGTTGTATAAACTCTGATTTTCTGCCCAAATCCTGTAAGAGGCCAGATGTGTGAGGCCCACTTTGGCCCTTCGTGTTCTCACTTCTCAGCTGACTGACCTTACTATAAAGCTACAGAGCAATGTTCTGGAATAGAGTTGAAAATGAGTGGCTAAAAGGATTGAATTACACACACACCTGTGATAAAATCCTTTCTGCTTGTGCTTTCTCATGAAATCTTGCTTGAAAGATACATTCAGATTTCCTAAGTAGGAAGAAAGATACGTGATTTCAAAATTGTCTGAGTAGCAATGGATATTGATGCACTTGTCTTTATAGCGATGTAGAGGTTTTAGAAGTATTTACAGTCCTGGCAAGGGGGAAAGAGGGTCATGAAGACAGTCCATTACTGAAATACATTGTTGAAGTGGGAAGACTTTCAAACAATAAGGAGAAAATACAAGGAAATACAATGGCAATAATCAAAACTTAGGTGCACATGAACTGACCATAAAATAGAAGCAAGGAAAGAGGATTTGGGAAAACACATTTTAAACCTGGGTTAAAGAAGTAATTGGGATGCAGTGAGATTAAAAAAGCCACTGCAGTTTTGGGGAACATAAGCGAATATTTCATAGTAGTGAATGCAAGTGCTCTGAGACCAGTAATTCTGCATGATATACTGCATTAGTTTTGGGGTCACGTTAGTAACACAGTGAAAGACAAGAATACTGATGTGCTACCATATGGATCATCACTGAATAACTGGTGAAAGCAAAGATAAGGCTTAAATGTAAAAAATTTTGGGTAAATGCAAAGAAGAGGTCATTGAAGTAATTTGGAGTGGCCGCAGTGCAGAACAATGAAAGAAGGTAAGCAAGAACTTACTTCACCAAACAGCAATGAAGAGGAGTGGGTACAGGAACCTCTTAATGCCAAGATAGGAAGTTAAACTCGGA